ATCATGGCCAGGCTCACCGAGCTCCGCAGCATCAACGCCCAGCACACCCAGCGGCTGCTGCGCATCCATGACATCCACCCCTTCGCCACGCCCCTCATGCAGGAGTTGTTCAGCATCTCGGATGCCTGAGGGGCTGCCCCAGGGGCGCGCCTCCGTGGGGCCGCCAGAACCAGAGCCCTCGGGGCCCACTCCTGGGGCTGGACAGATGGACACCCCCGAGAGCTGACCAGGCCCTGCAGGTCCGGCCTTCTCAGGGAACTTGCGACAGCTCTGATGGTGCTGGGCCCTCAGCCCCAGCTCAGTCTGTGGAAAGCAAAGCCACTGACCTTATATGAGAGTGCCTGGGCCTGAAGGTAGAGCCTATGAAGAGGCAAAGCCGCCCCCCAACCCTTAGAAAAGGCCCTGTGGTCTGGGATTTAGTGGTAGGAGAGCAGAAAGGACGATGGGAGCTGGGCCGAGGGCCAGGGGTGGGCAAACTTTTTGACTCAAGGGCCACAATGGGTTCTTAAACTGGACCAGAGGGCCGGAACAAAAGCATGGATGGAGTGTTTGTGTGAACTAATATAAATTCAAAGTAAACATCATTACATAAAAGGGTACGGTCTTTTTTTTTTAGTTTTTTTAGTTTTATTCATTTCAAACAGCGGGCCGTAGTTTGCTCACGGCTGGGCTGGGGCTTGCTCCTGGGGCTGAACGCTGGGGTGTTGTGACAGGCTATGTTGACAGGCAGTTAATAAATGTGCTAGATATGCTTGCACCGTATGTTCCCGGTCACGATTCTGTTTTCAAAGCTAAAGGGTATGAAAGTGTCTGCTTTGTTTATAGCCATTTGAGTAAAAACATTTTTGCTTTTTGCCTATTACATTTTAACTAATTTTACATAATGCATTCCACAGCTAAGGCTTAGTTAGCAAATATAATCCCGAGTTTATTCTCAAATTAAGGCAAGCTGACTTAAATAATTAACTTTTGGCTAGATATTTAAACCTTTTTCTTTTTTTCACCTTTTCCGGGGACAAAGATAGATGTGGGGGTAAGAAAACAGAAATGTCTTGTATATAATATATGTTTCTGTTTCTATTCTTTACTACTGATTTTACTACTAGGGGCCCAGTGCATGAATTTGTGCACCTTGAAAGGAACTGTGGGCCAAGAGGCTGCAGTAGGCACAGGGGCGGGTCTTGGCCCATCCTCCCTGCCCCCTCCTGTCCTCTCCCGCTGCAGCCTTTGGTTCCCTCTGTCAGCAGCCCTGCTCCCGCTGCTGCTCACACATGCTGACAGCGCTGGATCTGCTGGCACCTGCTGATGGCACAGAGCAATTGGGGCTGGCCCCAGTAGCGGGTGCAAGCAGCGGCTACTGCCCTGATCAACCCTCAGGAGCAGGGGGAGGTAGAGAAGCCCTCAGGGGTGATCAGGGCCTGCAGCCGCTGCTTGCACCAGCTGATGGTGCCAAGTGATCGGGAACAGCACCAGGCACTGGCAGTGGGTGTGAGCAGGGCCGGTGCCAGCAGCAGGTGCAAGCACCAGGTGGAACCGTGGCATGCAGGAGCAAAGAATTTTCAGTAACCACCAGAGATTCACCCCAATGACAGTGACCAGTGCCCTGCCTCGGTCTGGCGCCCCCGCTCACCTGCTCCACCATCCTGCTGCAGCCAACACTCGCCATGCTCTGCACACACTCCCTGATGGTCAGCCATGTCATAGTGACCGGCCGTTTGGCTATTCCAATTGTTCCACCATTCGGTCTATTTGCATATTAGCCTTTTATTATATAGGACTAGTGGCCTGGTGCATGAAATTTGTGCACATTAAAAGGGAATTAATTAGAGGAAATATTTTAATATTGCTATTTGCCCTTTCTCTATAATAGAAGTGTCAGAGATGAAAGAAAATTAGTAAAATGTATATGAAAATCTTCCTCCTGTCAGAGTCTGGGGCACGCTGCAGGACCCAGAGTCAAGTCCCCACCCATCTGTGCACACCTTGAAATCGAGTGAGACCCAGATGCAACCGGCCCCACCCCCATCAAGCCTGCAAGGGGGGGAGGGGAGGCACAGCCTCAGGTACCCTGGCCCTGACACTGGGACGGGGGGTGCAGCCTCAGGTTCCCCAGCCCAGCCTCAGGTCCCCTGGCCCAGCACCAGGGTAGGGGGCACAGCCTCAGGTCCCCTGGCCCTGGCGCAAGGGTGCGAGGACCATTTACATATTAGCTCTTTATTATATAGGATTGCTCTTTACATATCTGAAGATTGTGGTGAAAGAACATAAAAATGCATTAACTTGGCTTCCTCGTAAAATGATTGCTCCATATAAAAATTTAACATATTTATACCATAATTAAAAATGTAGTACTTGAACTAATTTCAAAAGTGTAATATGTTGATGCAAATGAAGCTGCATGTTAACTGAATTTTAAGGAACAGATACTTGCTTAGCTTTTACCATTTTACAAGAAATTGGCCAAACTTTGAGACCATAAGAAATTGACACAATATATCAAAGCAAGCAAACTTATGCCCCAAATTCCTCCAGGTGTACCAGCCTCTCTGCATCAAGGAGATAAACACCCTCATTTTTAGAAAGGAAACGGAGGGGAAAAGCTTCTCTCTGCAAATGCAATGACTTCAGTTTTTGCCCCAGGAATTTCTTTTGGAAATATAAACTTCATTCAACTGTATTCATAAATCAAATGGGTCGCCTCTTTCCCACCGGAATAATTTTGAGTGTGCTTTTCATTCAAATGCAGGCTACAGTTAAGTGAGGGCAAGGTGAGATTAGGACAGGATGTAATCAGTGGATGAGTAGGTAAGAGCTTTGGTACATTTACACAATAAAAATCCTACCCTTTGTCACACGGATGGACCTGGAGATTATGCTAAGGGAAATAAGCCAGTCAGAGGAAGGCAAATACCATGTGATCTCACTCATATGTGGCATCTGGTGAACAAAATAAACTGACAATATAGAATCATAGGCATGGATACATGGAACAGACTGACAGATGTCAGAGGGCAGGGAGGGGAGGGACACTGGATAAAGGAAGGTGAGGTAGGATTCGCTAAAAATGATATATGCATGCAGGAGGCAGCTGATTGATCTCTCTCTCTCTCTCTCTCTCTCTCTCTCTCGTCGATGTTTCTAAGTCTCTATCCCTCTCCCTTCTTCTCTGTAAAAAATCAATAAAATATATTAAAAAACAAACAACAAAAAAACATATATGCATAGTCTATGGACACACACAATACTGGGAGGACCAAGAGCAGGGCTGGGTGGAGGTGGGCCAAGAGGAGGAAAATGCAGGACATCTGCAATAGTGTCAACAATAAAAAATTTAAATAAATAAAAAAAGAGAATGTATTGGTTTTAAAAATACCTGGGCAATTCCCCAAACAATGATTTAATACTAACGACGTAAATACTTTTAAAAAGTAAGTGTAGTACAAGTGCAGTTAAGAGTCAAGGTTAGGTGCACCAAAGAGCTCACACAGGACCCTTCGTCTCAGCAGCTGTGTGGTCTCGTTTAGAGGGCTGGACGCCAGACCCTACTCTCAAGCATTCGGATTTCCTTATTACTCCCTTCCCGAGCTCCGAGCATTAGACGGAGTGTCACTTTCTGGGCATCTCCGTAGCCACCGTTCTTTTTCTAGGTTTTGCCTGTCAGGTGAGGCTGAAGTCCGACTCCAAAGCTCAGGAGAAAGACCTCCTAAGGAAGTTATGTTCACTGTCTGGCTCCCCCACTGGTCAGAGCCACGCAGCAGCCAATCCCTACAGGCCCCAACTTGAAGGATCCCATTAAAGCCTTGACATCTTTGGGGAAGGCCCAGGGCTTCTCCTTTTGTGGAGAGGATGGAAAGAGAAACGTAAATTTGATTGACTGTCCCCTCCCTCATCATCCCACCTTCCACAAGAGCTTGTTTTCCCCGGACACGTGGCCATAATGCACTCACAACTCTCCTAAATCCCAAGGTGCTAGTGAGTAAGTCAGATATTCCTGCACCCGAGGACTGGGTGACCGTCCATCACTGGGGTCACTTTCTTTCACCACCTTCTCCTTGAAGGGAACCTGCAACCTGACCCCTCCCTTTCCTCACTACCCTCTTAGAATCCCAAATGACATCCAGTCACTGCTCCCCCAGAAATGTGATCCCAAAGGACTGGAAATGCAGACTTCCAGGATTTTAAGTTAAAAGGGCATCCTGTTCAACCCCCATTCAAACGGGGCAGGAAATATTAGTGAATCCCAAACAAAAGCACTTCAGTGCCATCAGGAGGCTGGCCTATCCCACAAGAGACATCTTAATCCCCTGCCCCTCACTGTTACATGTCTCACAACAAAAATATAAGTGAACAAAGAGGACCAGACTTTATCCAATATAAATTTGTTTTTATTGAAGCAGCAGTCACATGATTTTATATCTAGCCTTTAGATTAGGCCTGACAGTGAGCCAGCCCTAAAAAGAAAAAAAAAAGTTTCTTTTTGCACTAAGAGACATTACATGTTTACATACATCATCCAATATTGGAAATGATAGACTCAAACACAACATGTGTTGGTTACCAGGGAGGTACAGCCCCACTGTTTGTGTTCATTTATTTTACAGATACTCCCAAAGACCATTACTAATGGGATGGAACTTAAAAAAAAAGATACAGCTACACCAAACCATGAGCACAGTAACAGAAGACAGCAGCTTATTCACGTTTTAAAAATTTGTCCCTTTCAGGGATGTTTTCTTTCTTCTCAATGCCATGTCTGCAAAGCTTCCTCTGCATCAAATCCAAAGGTTTCCAAGGTGGAAGCTGCACCTCTCGGCTACACAATGGAATAAGATCATTTGAAAGAACAGGAACTAATGTTCGGATCTCGATTTTTATAACAAAGATCCGTGTTTCTCTAATTGGAGGAAAAGAGGTGGTGATGTGTCTACATATTGCAGTGGCAAAACAGGCCGGGTGAAGAAGAGGGCTGGGTAGTGAAATAAAGACCACACACTTGTGAATTTTAATTTCATTTCCAGGCTACCTACTTTTTATTTAATGCAAATTACAGTACCAGTTAACTATTTCCAAACCAAGTCACATAGAACGAAATGTATTTACAAGGGAATGGGGAAGGGGGGAAAAAAAAACATTAAGCATACTTTTCACAAAAAAGTTTATATTTAAAATGAAAAAAAAAATCAGTCACAGAGGCATTCAAGTAGTAATGTTATACAGATTTTGCTTTTCCTTTATATCAAGACAGATTTGCACAAGTGTTTGCAATAGTTTGTATACAACCCACAGTCCTTTATATATATATATATATATGTATATAATAAATTTTGTTTTTTAGGTTTGTTTTTAAGATGGAAGTGGTCACGCTAATTGGTATGTGTACAGGCCCAAGTGATCCATCGGCAACACATTTATAAATGCAATTTTACAGGCAAGCACATTTCATACATCTATCTGAATCTGCCTGTAGCAGATATAGTATGAAAAAAAACCCACAAACTTAAAAATTAACACAAGGAAGTCTACTTTGTCAAGCTAACCCCTTATGTCCTGGTTGTCATTTTGCTTTTATTGCAGAGGTGCAAAACGGAGCAACGAACTTGAATAAAACATCACAACCCTTAGAAAATAATCCAAACCTCAGGGATTACTTTCGAAGCCTCTCAAACGTAGACCTTAGTCTGGGACTCTGCTCTGCTTCTAGGTGTCTCTCTTATCTTCAGTGGCTCAGGTTTCTATCAGAAAAGACAGATTTTATTGTAAAGCATGCTTAGTTTATTTTTCTATAGACGGGACAAGTGTTTGGCTCTGTGATTAGATGATCACTAAGAACAACAACAGGAATCAGTTACAATTTTTGTTTATAAGAAAAGAAAAAAACCCCAACTCCTGGGGATCTGGCATTGGCCAAACTTCCTTTGGAAGATTCCAAAGTTAAATCCCTTAAAAAGGAAAGGGAAAAAGAAATAAAATGCCAGTGTCTTTATATCCACAGGGATAGAGAATACAATAGTCCTCTCAGAAACCTTTGCATTGGTGCAGACCAGATGATTGGTTAGGCAGCTTTGTTAAAACACACACCAAAAATATGTATCTAAAAATTAAGAGGACTTTAAAAAATGACAACATGTCACTGGAAAGAAGGTGCAGTCCTCTGCCTTGCTGGAATGAACACATGATGTTTCAAAAATAGAAACCTTTGGTTTGGTAAAGTTTGATTTCTTCTTCTATTCAAGACATCTCATATGGAGTACTTGGAGGCAAAACAAGTAATTTTGATTTTTTTCTTTCAAAAAAGGCCTTCATGATGGGCACACAGTAAGAATTCAAATGATTTTTTCAAAAAGAAATTAAAATGAGATTTTGCTGAAAGGGTGGAGGTGGCGGGAGGACAGACAGGCGGAGTCCCCTTATTAAGCCACAGTCCTCGCGCACACTCCGGCATTACTGCCTGCCATCTTACCATGGCATTTCAGACCACTGATTAGCAAAACCCGATGCTATGATGGAACTGACTTACAAAAACCAGTTCTCCCCTCTCATTTGTGGGGGAAGGAAATGAGGAGAGTGAGCATGGAATCTGCTGACTGTAAGACCCATGGTTAGGGTTTGGGGAGGAGACGAGCAAAATCCAATTGATACCCTCCAGCTCTAGGGCACCCTGGCACTACGCTGAGTCCCTGGATGGCCTAAGGATGAAATGAAACCGGTCACTGCTACTGAGGAAGACATATGTTCAGAACCAAAACAAAGGCAGGGCTTACATGACAGGAGATTATAAACATGGTTTCCTCTTTCCACTCCTGAGCATGGTATCACTGAAATTCACCGTGAAGGGGCACAGACACTGTGTTATGGGTGAGCTATTATTTCATAGGAAAAAAAGGGTGGGGACAGGGAGACATGGATATAGACAGAAACCAATTAAAATTTAAAAAATGAAAAACAACAAATAAACACATGGAAGCGAAGGCACTCCAAACTATATAGATACACTATACATTGCTAGAGTTATTGTTACAATAATACAGGCCGGTACCTACTGTACAGAGTTAAAACTATATGGCTTTAAAAAGCTCGTCTACATTTTGTCTGATTATTAAACAGAATCACTGCCCTGAACAGTAACTTTTTGCTCATTAATAACAGTTCCTGGGTCCACATATTTACATACAAAACAATAAAACTTAAATTTAAAAAACATTGAAAGAAAATATAATGTACAAGCTTGAATTTGGTGAGGAGCTTTTATTATTATTATTATTTTATTATTTACAAAAAGATACGCAGAGACCTGGATCTCACTTGTATAAAAGAGCTCTGTGATCCTGCCATGATCCTTGAGAAAGAAAAAAAAATCACGCACCTCAGCCCTCGGACACGCACACACAACACGAGAGGAAAGCATCAGACTCTTCTCTTTTCTCACCCCATTTATCGGGGGAAGGTATTTTGTAAAATAAGCACAGGTTTCTATGGACTCTGGCAGATATACCAAATCCAGAGTAGTGTCTGTCCAGATGTTTGGCCAGGCAGTGGTCCGAAAGCAGGTCCATTTCTGTCACAGACCTGCTGCTTGGCCTCTTTATAAATCTTTTCTGAAAATGGCCTATCAAAGCCGTTCCTTTAGTATCATGTTGCCAAATACTTTCACTCAGACGTCCTTCCAACCTCAATCAGCTCTTAGAGGCTCATTATGAAAAGTAAAATTCAATACGTTTGATTTGGTTTGACCGAGGATGCTTCCTTCCTCATGAACTCTGATACAACCAGAGGTTTGAGAAACCCCTTCTGCGGCCTAAGAGCACAGCTAAACAGTGAGTGAAAACGACGACGGCTCACAGCTGCCTTTCTGGCACGGGTTCACTTCAGCAGGCAGTCGACTCTCCGGGAGTCACACACACTTGGGTAAGTAGTACAGTCTCTGGGGACCAGCATGAGGGCTGTCAAGAGACTCTATTTCCAAATCGCCTGGAGGGCGAGACCCCTAACATGACCTAAGGTGGCAATGAGAAGGGGAAGGTAGGTTACACACAACCTAGGGCCCAGCTCTGCAGCCCTAGCTCTCAGTGAACCGTAGAAGGCATGTGGGGAAGGAGCAGGTACGGGGAAAGGCGGCCATCACTCAAGTAATCTTTACATGTAAAGTACAACTGGTTGTGCCTTAAAGATTCATAGGTCAAGTAATGGCCCATAAGCACCAAGGTGGCTAAGGTTCATTTTAGAGTATATAAGGCCCACATAGATGTCAACCTTAAACATGTAAAACAAACTCTTTGTAAAAATCTATTTCCTCACTGCAAACATAATCCTTCAATCCTCCTTGCTTTCCAAGGAATATTGCTTTTTCTTCAAAAACAGAAACTGGTTCTTACACCATCCACTGATACAGAAAAGAAAACAAACAAAACTCTTAACTGGGTATAGGGAAATCATTCTTCTTCTCACTCTTCAAGCAGTCAATTTTGATACTGTGGACAAAATGAAAACAAAAACAAAAGGCAGTACTGAATCTATTATATATAACACATATACACACATTTATATAATCCACTTTCCTATAACGTCAGCAGGTACTAGTGACTGTTTATATCATTTGGATGCGTAGTTTTTAATATTCTTATCATCTAGAATCATAATGGCCTGACACATGCATCAATAAATAAAATTTTAAAAGCATGAGGTTAAAAAAAGCTGAAATTAAATACAGATTCTAGATTTGGATTTAAAATTAGAACTATGTGCAGAACGTGGCAATTTCTGCAAGCTCAATCTGTAATTAAAAAATATGGAAATAAACCAGTAGACTGTGACAGTTCACATTATTTAACTATAATGTCCTCTCAAGTGTATCTTTCCAAGGGAAGCAACTTCAGAGAAGAATCTGGAATACTTCATTCACAGTGGTGAGATCTGCCCTGGCCAGTCCCTTCCTCTGGGTTTATCGACTTTTGACCTCCACAGCCAGAGTGGCCGGCTCAACGCTTTGTCAGCCTTCTCCTGGGTCACTCGTTTACAACCGTACTAAGGTTTGCAGAGAACCTTTGGCCAGGCAAACAAAGATCCACAGGAAGCACAGGCATGCTCCTCCCGACAGCCTCTTACACAAGTTCCCCCACCACTAGCACTGATTAAGAGCAAAACAGAACTTTAACAAATCAATTAAGAATCTTCCCCTTACAGCTTCTAACTTTATTGACCTCCCAGGGTTACAAAGGATACACATTTCCTTTTTTTTTTTTTGTCTGCCACACCTGCCACCAACATGCCAAAGGCAAGTCTTCGAACGCCCCAGGATATGGATTCATTTTACAAGTGACATTTAAGTCCCCATGGGGTTACACCTGCTAAGCTCCCAATCAATTTCAAGCTGTGCACTATAACAAGTCTTACACTTGACTTTAAAAGAAAAAAGTTCAAAAAAACTTCAGCACAGAACAAAATTTTCTTCTTTTGTGGAAGGGGCATGAAGCAGGAGTCCTGTTTTTAAAGTATCCAACAGCAGACTTCTGATAAGATTGTCGTGGGAGAGAGATCGTGTTCTGGTGCTCTGCCTTCCCTCCCCCCAACCCTCCCACCCCTGGCTCTCCCTCAAAGTGAGAATACAATGAAATTGGTTTGTATTTATAGATATCTTACAAGGTTAAATAATAACAACAACAATAATAAAAAAATTGAACACTAAAATGAACAAGTTTTTTTTTCTCTTTTTAATTTTCTTTCCAAACGTGACCAGTGTTGCTGAGTTACACTCAAGTAACTGGTGGTTTTTCCTGTGCAGCTGGCTGCTCGGGACTGTTCAGGTGGAGTTGGAAGCTGATGCAGAAGCAGCGTTATTGGTCTGTCCACGGTCTCCAGCATTAGCATCTGCAAATCGAAAGTCCCAAGAGAGAGCATGAGCGATGCTGTAAGATCTCAAAAAGAAAAGCATGCTGTCTCAACTGCAGACTGAGCTGTGCGGCCTGCTTCCAAGTGTATCTGAAATGTTGTTTTAAATATGGCCAATACTATGAAATCTGGATTTCTTTCTGCTTAGAGCTAAGTCCATGCTGTGGCCTGGTCCTGATGCAGGACGATACTGTCTTTGAATAAGTTATAGACTCAGGTAGCCAGAGACCATGTCTGTCAAAGCTCTTGTTCTAGCCTGGATCAACGGTATAGGATCAGCTGGAGTCTAGTGCATCTGAAAATGCACAGCTGGAAACTTGTTAGAAGTCCTGAACCATGCCATCTGCCTAGGGGGGTAAAAAGGGTGTAGACAGTGAAAGTACTGCGGGCCAGCGTGACAGGCAGAAGTGCTGTGTGTAAGTCAAATTCAACTGCTTGCTTTCTAAGCATAGGCCATCTTTGTTATTCACAGACATGGAAGATAGACAACTAGCAAAAAAAGGAACAGCTACCAGAGTACCAATTCACTTAATTCAATAAAGTATCTTGTAGTAACTTAACTATCTTGGCACTAAGCTTACTTTGCCTAATGCTTTGGAAATATGTGTAACATTATAACTAACTTTAACCTGTTCCCTCTTCTAAAAGCCCATTATCATTTCACAATATCCATTAACATTAAGCGGGCATTTGTGTCCAGATTGGCTCCCCATCTCCGGAAGACATACCCTCCTATTTCAGTGACTAGTTTAATTAAGTTGCATCCCTGTCATCTTACACATGACTGGGAATATCCTGCTGGGCAAATTTTCTCCCAAGCACTTCATGGTAAGCCCTGAGCAACAGGAGAGGTGGCTTGATTGGGATGGACAACTTTCAAGAGCCATCTCCCTAGAAGTCACACCTCCCTTGGCCGTCAAGGCTGATGACACCCAGCCGTTTTCTCTCTCTAGAAATTATAGTTCTCCTATATCCTATGATGAATACAGTAAACAACGTCATGGCGAAAGCAACATTCAGCCTTCTGACTTTTCTACTTTGGATTTTTTAATTAGAGTGAGAAACAAAAGACCCAAGGACACACAGGAACTCTTAAAAATTAGCTGTTCACTTTATAAGTTCAGTGGCCACTCTATGAAAATTATACTTCTTTCCTAAATTTTTTATTTTTCCTATCCTCAAAACCATCAGCCCTCTATACATTTAAATCAGACTTTGGGGAAGAAACACTTCTCCTCCTGTTACCAGGCCTTAGCTGACGACATGGAGTCACATGAACTCACGGGCATGGCACATGGACAGTGCAGGAGAGGGTATATGGCATAGAATCTCTTCTCCAAAGGCAGGCAAACAGCCTTTCTTCTAAAAGTCAGTTAGTACCCATGTCTAATACTTCATTCACGACTCCTGGTTTTTTCTGGATATGCCTTGCTTAGCAGGAGTTTTCCTCTCAACGATCACACAAATTCCATGTATCAATAATAATCGAACAATTCTTGTCCAGACCACAGGTTCCTGTGAGCCTTTCCCAAGAAAAACACCCATTTTCATAATTTAGGCATAGGCTGCATTAAACAACAGTCCAGAGAAAGCCTAAGGGCCACAGAGCTGTTTCAGAATTAATAATGTTCCTCACAAGCCAAGATCACTGTGCACCTCTCATGCTGTGTATGACACTCAGTTCCTCTGCGGGATCATCATCAGACAACACTTCTATCCCTTGTCAGTTTGTGAACATGACAGGTAAAATTGTCACGTTCTGATCTTTCCCAGGAGTTAAGAGATGCACTAATCACCGGGAATTTATCTACTTGATCATGACATCAGCACATGTACTAGCACTGCTGGCAGCTCTGGCCAGGGCAGCATCAGCATCAGCCAACACCCATGAAGACTTAACTACATTGCCACCCAGCCCATTATGTTAATTTGCTCTTTGGCAAAATCATAATTAGCTATTAATCGGCAAATGTTCTTTCAGTGGATACTACCTGTGAGCTTAAGACATTCCCCAAACAAGTCCCACCCTCCTCAGATGAAGCCAGAGGCTGCTTACATGAGAATAAAAAGCACAAGCCTTTTAAGTGGGCACACAATCAAAAATGAATTCACCTTCCAAACAATAAAATTTGAAAACACACTCATGTTCCTCAGGTTTGTACTTTAATGATCTCTTATTTTTGCTTAGAATTATTTCCAAATAACCTGATGAGTAAAATTTTAACAGCTAATTATTTTGATTACAAATATCTTTGATACCTAAGTCATAGCACTGTAATCCTATATAATAAAGAGGTAATATGCAAACTCACCATCACGCCCTCGTACAAATAAGATGGCTGCCCCCATGTGGTCACAAGATGGCTGGCAGGGGAGGGCAGTTGGGGGGGACCAGGCCTACAGGGGAGGACAGTTGGGGGGGAACAGGAC